AAGAATACAATTTCATGATTCAAAAACCTGACCAATAATTCAATCCAGCCCAGAATCAAAGAACTTAATGTGAGTGTGACAAAACTAAGCTAGCTGTAATCAAGGCTTGGATACTATTGCAGATTGTGTGGGACATGAATATGTGGAAAAAAAACACATAATGCCAAAATTTGAATATAGCACCACAGTTTGGGTCCATGCAGAAAAATCCAATGCATTCTGTCTGTGAAAGGTACACTGCTTGATTCTCTTTGCAACCATTCACTCGTAATGGAAAAAGAAAATAAATTATAAGTTGGAAGTTCTCTACCTTGTAGAAGGACATAAATGTATGTGTGGGTATTGTCTTCGATCCTTAAAATATAGAAAATTACCCATGACTCATGGAAGAAGAAAACAAATAAAAAGGTGGAGTTCATCCATCTTGTGTTTTGGTGATTGGTGCTTTCACCTACATCTTAAAAAGTATAGGATGGAGTAAAAATGTATACAACAGCAACATCAAGATTTTATCGCACTGTGGGGTCGGCTACACGATTCTTTTTCTCCATTGTGCTCTGTTAAAAATTAAATTTTCATTTAAATCTAATAAAGAAAGGTCATTTCTAATATTGTCTAACCAAGTCTTTTTAATTCTACCTCTACCCTTCTTAATATAAGGCAAATCTAATACATCTACTTTCCTAACAGGGTCATCGGAAGACCGTCGTTTTATGTGACAAAACCATCTAAGGCGACTCTTTCTAATCTTATCTTCCACTTGAGTTACTCCAAGCTTTTCACGTATATGCGCATTTCACATCTTGTCTCTAAGAGTAAAGCCACTTATCCACCTGAGCATCCTCGTCTTTGCAACACTTAATGTATATATGTGAATATTGTGCTCTGACACTAAAAAAAAGTAAACATAAATGATGACTCATCGAAAAAGAAAGCAAATTAAAAGGGGAGTACTATGCTTTGATACTCACCATAGTAATGTATATATAAGAGTGCAGTGGTCCCAAAGTTTGGGATTCAAGAAGGCTACAAGCACATGAATTGCTCAACCTTTACTTGTTATTTGTTTGGATTCTTCTTTAGTAATATAAGCCATGTGAGGTGATCAATAATTTGGGAAGGAAATGGAGCACCATCTCCATTTATGTTCTTATGGCTGATGAAAGCATTCTTGTCATTGTTCAAAATCAGCAATCAATCACTTGCTTTCCTGCTAATTGTTTTTCTGGTCGCAATCTAGCATGGTCATTGGTCTAATATGCTTGCTTTTTTTTTTCTTTTTTCCTTTTTTAATATAAAAATAAATAAATAAATGTTTACAGATAAGATTGTGATGCAGTAGAAGTTTGGACTCAATCCTAGCCGTCCAAAATAAATTGATCGGTTGAGATAGGTTAACTTACACCTTATCATGCATACAAGTGGAGAGGATTCACGTGAATTATTATTTGAACTCCAACAAAGATCCTTTCAAAAATCACTCATTTGATGGAAACTTGGAAGTAATTAAAACGCGATAGCTTAACCAACTTTATATAAGGTCAACCATAAATTGTATCATCATTGTAAAAAATAATAATAATAATAAAAGAATCCATTAAAAGGTCAAACGAGTTAGCATGCTTTCAAACTAAAAAAAAATGCAACAGATATTGAACCGAATTTAGAATAAATATTTTACTGAAAAATATAAATATTTTTTTAAATAATAAGTTTTTTTTGCAAGAAATGAAAATCATGAAAGCCATTACTTAGCAAAATAGAGGTGAATGGCTTGCACCTCCCCAAAAATATCATATATTTTTGTCCTGAATCAGGATAATCTCAGTGAAACAGTGCAATAGATTGCTCAATGCAGCAATATATGTTGCAAGTATTAAAGCAAGAGTTCTAAAGATAGCGGTGAGAATTTACTTTCATACACCTTCAAAAAATTAGAACATTCATAGGTATGCTAAATTTAAATATATATAAAATAACTCACTTGGAAGTCATATATAATATAAAGCTAATGAAAATAGATGCTCGTCGAAAGCAGCCATCGGATGGGCACAAAAGAAAGTTACGTGCATGCGTAGTAGAACAAGATAATGTGTCGATTATGGCAGGAATTATAGATATTTAGGCTTCGTTTGGGACGGCTTTTTTACTGCTTTCTAAAACAGAGTTTTAGTACAAAATTTTTTATTTTTATACTAAAACTTCGTTTTAGAAAGCAATAAAAAAATCGTCCCAAACGAAGCCTTAATATCTAGTAACGGAACGAGACAACAGAACATAGAGTAGATGAGATGATCCAAAATCTAAGCAAATTTCTATTAAATTAAAAAGCAGTTGTTCAAAATGAAACAAGGACAGAACGAACGGATGCTCCATGCCAGTTGCCTCCTTTGATCTCCATCCCCATTCCTCTTTGTCTCCACAGGCGAAATTTATCTATTTGTATTTATTTTTTTTTTCTAAACGGGTTGGTGTGTGGGTGGGGCCATAACCGGTTGCCATTTTCCGGTTTAGGATTTTGACATGTTCATTAAACGGGTTGGATTGGTTCAATGCAAGTTAGCTTCAGGTCATATTTGAACCCAACCCAAAAGCACATTTTGACACCCATATCTCCACAGAAGTCCCCAAAATTCAAAGTAGTAATGCGCTTGTTGTGTGCTGGCACATTTATGGCAGTAGAGAGACATAGGATTTAGCATCAAAGTTTTGTATGAAGATTTAGCACATAAACGAATAAGAGAAATGTGTACATTAGTCATAGAATACATCAATATTTTTATATAAAAACCCCTGAAAAAGAAAAATATCATGAGGTTTGGCCTAGTTAAAATGATTCTACTAGTATTTATAGTCGATTACAAATGATGCCCTTCATTGAGGGAAGACCTTGGCTCAATGTAATGAATATATATACATCATATAGAGCTCATTAGATGGTGAGATTTGGAAAAAAAACTAGTGATTTAAGAGTTATTCTCAAAAGAATGTTGGTATGTTCATTTGGTCGGTAGAATCTTAACATAGTCGAGCGATGAAGGTCGGAGGGGTCGTAGTTGGGCGAGTGAGGTAGAGGGGACCTCTATTGGGTGATAATGGTCGACGGTGGAGCTCTAGGATGCTTCATGCCTCAAAGTTCTCTTGAGTATCTAGCCCAAGATCTAAGCCTCCAAAAGTCCAACCCCCTTTTCATGTAGAAAGGGGGTATATTTATAAATTTTGTGAATAGCGTGCTTATAAATATGAAAAAGATCCAGGATAAATTTGAAAAGCTCCATCAGAAGGCCCATAATAATTCCCTGGATCATAGAGTACTTGTTCAATATTATGTGCCTTAATGAAGTCAAAATTAAGTAATCTTGAGCTCATTAGATTTGACTTGTCGAGTCATTCGATTTGATTATAAACATTTTATATTTGGATATTATTTAATCATCTAATAAATGCACTAAAGCTTCCAAAATATACTTCAATCCCTTGATTTCAACCCATTTGGTCTTAGATTGAACCGATTTTTGTGTTATTGGATTTGTCTCCTTGAGACGTTTAATTTGACATTAAGTTTACTGAAATTAGAATTTGGATGGTTTCAAATTTAATTTTAGACGATGACAACTTCAATAAGCCTCATGATTCAAGTTCAATCAATACAATTTTTGATGACATATCAGCGCATAATATATATATATATATATATCTCAAAGCAAAAGCGACAATGAATGTTGAAATAAGTAATCCACAATAACATCATTCAGAATCCTATTAAGTACCTCCTCAATACCACCAATTAAATTTTATTTGGAAAAGTTTATTTACTTCTTTCTAAAAAAAAATTCAAATACAAAAATTTCTAAAACTAAAAACTTTCATACTAAAAAATTGTCCCAAACAAAATCTTAAATTTTATTTGGGATGACATTCTTACTATTTTATAAATCTATTTCTTAGACTTCGTTTGGGACGGTTTTTTTATTGCTTTCTAAAAC